GCTGCTGTCCCCAGGGCGGCGCCGGGTTCCTGCCCCCATGCGCACGGTGCCACGAGAGGCGACGCCTGGGTTGAGTCCAGCCCCGGCAAGGATGCTTCTCTCTCCTCCTCCTCCTCCCACCCCGGTGAGCATCCCAGTTGCCTGGACTTGGCTTTCCTTTTCCCCCTGGACTTCTTGTTGGAAATTCCCAAGGTGTCTATGCCGCCTGTAATGCCCTGCACCCTCTTCTTTGAAATCAAATTAAAAATCAGGTCTGTCCCCGCCCTCCTTCTGTACCTGCCTCGCTGCTCTTTGCCTGTGGTGCCAGATCGCTCGCCACCCCACTGCAGCTCTTGCAGCCCTTCTGGGGGAGGCAATGGTGGTCCAGGGTGGGGGGGATTGTTTTCTCCTCTGCAAAATGAGTATCTTTGCAAGCAGGTTTTGCATCCGCAGGACCCCAGCACTCGCCCTTGCTGCTGGTTGGCAGGCATGGGGGGTCTGGCTTCATCATCTCTTGGAAGACGGGGCTCTTCTGGCCCCACTGGGGCTCTTGGAGGGACATTGATGCGCACAGAGACGGCAGACCGGCAGCATGAATTCCCTTCACCAGCTGTGACCACCCCATCCTCTCTCCCTCCCACCCCACGCAGAAAAGATGCTGAAAGACAAGAGCTTTGGTATATCTTTATTGCACAAACAGCATTGCCGGGTCCGTGGCTGCAGGCTCAGGAGTGCAGCGGTGCCTGCAATGAGCTGTGGTGACAGCCATCACCACCGAGGTGATCACCAAGCCCACCACCCCCTTTGCCCATAAGGAAGCCTGCAAGGGTCATCTCCTCTGACAACCCCCCCACCCCAACTCAAACACCCATTAAGGCTCTTGGTGCTGTAAGACATGAGGATCATTAGTCCCATTGTGCAGATGGGGGAGACTGAGGCACAAGATGGTTTGCACGCTTGGATGCCAGGTGCGGGGTGCCCCTGCTTTAGGGGGACACCGTAGGGGCCGGCTACACCCATCTTTCCTGCAGAAAGTGCCCCATTCTCTCAGTCTGGAGCTGGATTTTTCCACCCAAACCAGCACAAGAGCACCTGTTTAGGACGAGAATTACCAGTCCAAATGAAACCCCACAGGGAAGGAGGAGGTGCAGCTCTGAAGAACCACGGAGGGGACCCCCCGGCTGCCTGGGACCAAACCCATCACGCTGCCCACACCAACCTCGGGCACCACAGCTCCGGCTGCAGCATCGCTCCCACCTTCGGACGAGTGAGGTGGTCCACCACAAGAGCACCTGTTTAGGACGAGAATTACCAGTCCAAATGAAACCCCACAGGGAAGGAGGAGGTGCAGCTCTGAAGAACCACGGAGGGGACCCCCCGGCTGCCTGGGACCAAACCCATCACGCTGCCCACACCAACCTCGGGCACCACAGCTCCGGCTGCAGCATCGCTCCCACCTTCGGACGAGTGAGGTGGTCCACCCCTGCCGAAACTCAGGA